ATAGATAGATAGATAGATAGATAGATAGATAGATAGATAGATAGATATATAAATGCATCTCCATGAGTGTGTTTGTTTGTCTGTGTTTGCTCCGTGTCTCTGTTTGGTCCTGGTCCTGGTCCTGGTCCTGTCTTGTCCTGTCTTGTCCTGTGTTGTCCTGTCTGTCCTGAGTTGTTCAAACCTAATCCCTAATTCTTCGGGGGATTGCGTTTTACACGGATTGCTTTTCCTCGGGTTTACGGCTAGCCGACTAGAATCTAGAACCTAGAAGCCCTCCCAGAATCATCATGATGTTGGTGTCCTGTTGACTCTCTAGTTTTGGACCAGCATTGATGTTCCTTCCGCCCGCTGACCGCATTGCACTGAGGCATGTTGGGGGACATTTGCCGGAGGGTCCGCTCAGTGCACTGGAAAAACTCAGAGAGCTTCAGCAATCCTATATCGACCGCAAGACCGACCAGGTCCATTCTGGCATTTCGTGCGCAGTTGCTACTACACGGCTCGGCAAAATGATTCATCATGGAAGGGTGGGGCTTGCTCAAAGAACTTGAGGGTGTTCCAACCAAAGCTGTCTGCAACTGGCGCAGTCGGTCCTGTTGTGCTAACCCAGCGCGCATGAGAGACCTTTGTGCCCCGACTGGAGTGCCATCTGCAATCCCTTTCCCTTAATGGCTGCGTGAACGTGTGCGGGGGGCGAAGCCAGACAGGCGTACATTTACAGGTGAAGAAAGCCCGCGCGCGTGTCTTAGCAATACTTGTTTTGGTTTCAGTTGTAGGCCCTTCTTCATTTCTTCTTTTTCTCATGAGGGCGCCTTCGCCAACCCAAACCAAGCCATTGCTTTTTAGTTTTTTTGCAATCGCTGGACCTAGTAGCTTCATGCACAGTTCTTCCACGATACTATATCCCATGCTCTTTGTCCTATGTCCTGTTTGCAGTTTTGTGATCCTACTTGTGCAGGTACGTCCAACGCAGACATCGCCATTAGACTGAGATTGCCGCACGTTTGACACGTTCTTTTCAAGCAGGGGTCAGCGCGGATGGGATGATACCCAACTTCCTCCGATGTATTTTCTATATTCTTGTCTATACACATCTGCGTTCTAGATCCTCGTGTCGCAACCCCCCTTTTTTGTTTCGCGGTGCTGCCGTGCTTGGCTGTCTCTTGACCCGCGCCTTCTCCTTCTTACCGCTGCCCTTGAGCCGCTCGATCTAATTCTGCAACCTACTTTTCGTTTTCCTTTCAGTCGGTTCATACCTCCATTTTCTTTTTCTCTTTTATGTGCACTAAGGTTTCCCGTCGCTTGGAACGAATGGCAACACCTGATTGCGCTTCACCATCGAAGTGGCGTTGATCTGCCTCTGTCACTGCTGCACTCAGATTTCAAGGCCGTCGTGCTCGGGTGCTTCGGCTCAGGACGGCAATCCCGAACGAAGACTCGGTTGCCCCTAGCGTTCGACAAGGTAGCCTACCTCCCTCCGCATTATTACGTCACTCCTTTGAGAATGTTCTCGCTACCAAGTCTGACCAAGTTAGTCCCCCAACCCCCAAACCGTTTGGGTGCTTGCCTCGGCTACGCAGCGCAGTTGGAACATGTGGCAACAACTCTTGCGTAACCGCTGCGGCCAGACAGCGCCTCTACGCTTTGCAAGACTCTGTATGCTACAGCCATGGCAGTGCGGTTTGGCCCATCCTGGCACAACCATTCCCTTCGCGCCACCAGGCTCCGCATTCATTATCGGGTGGTGTAATTGTTGTCATTGCTTTCCGTGCCATTCTTGCAGTTCTATTCCATTCTTTCCTTGCAACAAGTTTTCATCAGTGCCCCTTTGTTTCATCACAGGCAACAACATGTTCGGACTTCGCTTATGGTCCAGGGTCGACAGCGAGCCGACCTCTCCGACCCTCTGACGCAAATATACCACCTTCAACAACTTTGCTTTCAAGCGCGGCTGCCATAATCTTCTCCTGATGACATTGCTTCTTGGTGACGTTCAAACTGCTGCAAGTCGAGCTGGCGCAAAACTCACGAAGGTCTTGAACACGAAGCCTGCCTCCGCAGCTTTTGATGCAGTGGACCCTGCTTCCTTGGCTAACCTGCGCCCACAGCCAAAGCGCCCTCAAACGCAGATCCAAATAACATGCCCTATTTTTCTGGTGGAATCTCGCGTTCTTTCGTGGATTGATTTCAAGAACCCCTATACTTCTGAACCGAGCACTGGTCCTTTTTTCTTATCGTGCCAGGCGATTCTGCGACCACATTCGTCCACAAGGGTGTCAGAAGCACACTTGGCTCAGACTCGCCCTGCGCGCGCGCGCGACGATTTCTTTTCGCCGTGACCCCCAAGCCTGCTTCCGCCTCTGCTTCCCGCAAGGCCGGATTACAGTATCTTTTTCTTTCCTGTGCCGTGCCTCTTGTTGTTCTCCACTTGCAAAACCGGAGCAGCTGATGACGCTGCCACGACCACGTTGCCGTCCTGTCCTGCTGCCCCTGCTGCCTTGCAGCCGTTGTCAACGCAACAGATGTTTCCTCGCGAGTTTATTGCTTTGTCCTCTGCCCCTGTCGCGGTTTTGTCTTGTTTTTTGTAACCGCTAAATTCTGATCACCCTTTCACTCTTTCAACCTATTCTTATCAGGCTCCGACGACCGCAGCCAACGCCCCTGCACCCAGTGAAGCTGCGACGCTGTTGCTGTCCTCTCCTGCTGCAACCGGCGCCTCCGCGCGTGTTTCTTGGTTGCGTATTTTTCCAATCCGTTTCCTGTGTCAGTATACGACTTTTCCGCATGACTGTATCTATACTGCTTCAATCTCACTCACCTTTTCTACATATGAGTCAGCAGCGTCCTGGACGCAAACGACGCTCTTTGACCACGGCTGGATTTCCGAAAGCTCCGCAGGGCCAGCCCCCAGCACCAATCACTTTGACGATCATCCCGTACGCGGCCAGTGTTCGAGCACTTCTCCAGCTCCCTGCCTTGCCATCATTTTGGATCGTTCCCCAAGCTTCCTTTGTCCTTTCCGAAGCTTTCGGGCCCCTTGATAAGTCTTTGATGTCATAGTCACAGGGCAATGCAGAGAAGCCTCGGTCGGCGCAGGACTTGGTAAACTTTGGCTACCTGCATCTGAGTTTGGGACGCAGGCTGCGCACGAACTTCCGTATGCCACAGAGTGGCTCGCAACCGGCTTTGCGTCTCCTCCTGGACTAGCTTGACCACATCCTGAAAGGCGTTGACTGTGTCTATGTTCCTTGCTCGCATCATTTGCACTTTGTTCATATCTTCCTTCCTTCCTTCCTTCCCTCCCTCCCTGCCTGTTCCTTCCTTCCTTCCTTCCTTCCCTCCCTCCTTCCCTCCGTCCTTCCTTCCTTCCTCCCTCCCTCCGTCCCTCCCTCCCTCCCTCCCTCCCTCCGTCCGTCCGTCCTTCCTTCCTTCCTTCCTTCCTTCCTTCCTTCTGTCACTCTCAAACTCTTGTATGCGCACATACACACAATACATATCATATCAGTAGCGCTTTTTCAACATAGCTTTATGTACTATATTTTTGAATTTTCCATTCCCAGGCAACCAAGCCATGTGGAGATTCTCAACAAAATCCCCCACCACCTGACCGCTGACGAAGTCCAGTTTGTTGAAGTTCAGTTCATCCCACAGGGTCCAAACCCGCACCTCTCCGGGCGCCCAATCAAAGGAACAGTTCGCAAATGCAGCGGTTGCGGGGACCTTCTGTGCCCCTGAGCGGCTACACCTTTGGCGCCAAGGGCCTCTTGAAAAGCAACCGGTTCGAATACGTCCGCCCTGACAAGCCCGAAAGATGACTTGTGCGCATCGCTGCGAGAAGTTGGCGTCTTGGCGCCCATTGCGCTGCAGGCGCCTGCTGACTTCGGGCTGCCTCCTGTGATTTACCGCCTAGACTGACAGACCCTCCGACGCATCACTGTCTTCCGCCCTTTCGCCCCCGCGAAAAGATCGCGCGCTGTCTGTCGTCATTTGTTCCTTGCTTAGAGCCTCCGAAATACATTATTCAAAAAAACTCTTCTTGCGACGCTGTGTCATACCATTTCCACTGCTACCTTGCTTTCACACCATTTTGCCCCCTTACCACAATTGGCTTTTTCAGCGTTCCATTCGCACGCGCTCCTTTACTGTACCGCTCCTTTTGCTCGATCTGCTCTCACTCCTCCTGCTTACCACGTTCTTCACCAGCTTCTTCTTTTCCAGCCCCTACTCGCATTAAACCATAGCGGTGGGCATGTCTGCCCCTTTAAACAGACACGTATCATTGTTTTTCATGCCTCCGGCATATCTAGCTTTCTTCACGCCTCGCTTTGACCTCATGCGACAATCCTGCATAGATCTTCCAGACCCGCGTTTGGCCCAGCTGCGTTGCGCTGACCATTCACAGACATTCTGGAAGAACTCCCACACTTTGACTCTTCTCATCCTACCAAATCATTTCTTTCAAGTTCGTCCAACCAACATGCTTCCAATATAATGTTTGCCTATTCCGACCAAATCGCCACCAACTCTGTCTATACCTCTGCACTCTCACCTTTCACACTGCAACCATTCTCACGGCCTTACGCGCTGTGTTAGTGCCACCTGCCTCGCATCAGTTTATCAAGCCTTGTGCTTCCTTTTTCATGTCTCTGCTTCTCTCTGCTCTACTCTTTCATGGCCTTTTTGTTTGATTCCTGTGCACGTTTCGGAGGCTCTCAGCACTTGTCACCAGTTTCATGTTGGATTCCTATACGCCGTGCTATACGCCTTTTTGCCCCTTTCTCTCTGCCGCCGTTCTGTTCTCAACCCCCTGTTTGCCCTTTCCGGATACTTCGAGCTCAACAAGTATGTCAGGGCGTAGTTGATCGCGAGCCCCCCATGCCCCACAGCAAAAGCAGCCCGCCGACGCCAACGCGGTTCCGGCGCAGTTGCGTGCCTGCGCAGGTTCACAACAACACAGTGGGCGCTGCGGCAACATTGCCGGGATATGCGCGATGACCAGGGCACGCCTGCGATTGGCGTCGGGGTGGGGGCCCACGCGTTACAGAGCCTTCAAGCCGTGGCCAGCCAACTGTTGGCGCAGGCCTGGACCTTGTTAACCGTTACCTCGCATACACAGACTGGTACGAAGACAATTTAATTATGTATTTTCTCCTCAGGACGCCGTCCCCCGCGACAGACCGAGTTTCCCTTTCGAGGTCCTCATTTTTTTGTTGTTGGGTGTACTTTATTTAGCCTTGCCGTTTCTCTGACCTATGCGTATATTCACCTAGCCTGGTGGGATCCACCTGCGCCCTTCACCGCGACCACTGCCCTCCTTAGGGGTTTTCAATTTCTATCGCACCTTTCTCTCCTGACCCTCCCTGTCTGTCCATGCCAGTGCCAGGATCGTCCTCACAATTCTTCATGCCATTCGCCCAGGCTTCTGCTTATTCTCAATTCCAACGTGCTGCCTCAGCACTTCAAGCCATGCTGATATTATACCCCATCAGCGAGTCCGGCTACCTTCCAACTTTTTCCCGCATTTTGTTCACTCCCGCCCAACGAATACATGCCCCATCCTGTTTCCCATGCATCCTTTCGTTTGCTCTTTCCACGCGCGCGTGCTCGCAGGACTACTCCCGACCCTTTGGAAACATCGAGGCGGCCCCATCCATCCATGGAGGCTCCATCCATGTTTTTCGCTTTTCAGCTTCTGCTTTTGTTTCTCTTTGCTTCTTCAGGACCCCGCTCCTGCACGGCCCCGCAAGTCCGCTGCTGATTTGTATCTATATTTGCACCTTTCTTCACCATGTTTCAGCCAAACTCAAAGACCCAATTTTGCAACAGAATTGGCTCCTTTGCCAGCCAGCAAGGAGAAGGGCAAGAAGATTGTTTGCATTTTTCGGCCAACGAAGAGGGAGTGCCGATGCCTGCAGTCCACGCAGCAAAGTTGGCAAACGTGTTGGAAGGAACCGGTGACAGATGGTATTGATGGTATGACACAACTGGCTTTATGAAGAGGTCAAAAAGAGTTCACTGACTCCACTTTGTGAAAGCCTTGCAGCTGCAAATGCACCCAGACCATCGACCACGGAAACTTGTGCTCAACATGGCCAGAACTGTGCGTCGCATCCTGGCTTGTAGGATCGTGTGCCAGGTTCTGGCTTGGACCTGCTGGCGCTGCAGCGGCGCGATAAGTTGAAACATCAACATTCTGACGGTAACTCGGCCCAACAAGGCGGTCCCGTAAGATGAGCTTGGATGTAGGCTTGGATTGCATCCGCAAGCTTGACTGAATGTCCTGGAACACATCCATAGAAATCTGCCCATCTTGAAGATTCAAGGGATGCTGGAGAATTTCCCAGATCTTGAAAGAATGCTGCTTCCCAGTTTTGACTCTTCATTTTGTTTCCTAGGAGGACTCCTCTACCCTTGCTCTCATCACTCTCGGGTAGCTGATAGTTCTTTTCCACAATAATGCCATGGACCCTTGCAAAGTGCATGGCTTGTTTGAGAGTAAGATGGTGTAGAAGGATTAACGCTCGTTTTTGGGTTGACACGCGTTGCGAGCAACCCATCTGTTTGTCTGTCTGTGTCTGTCTGTCTGTCTGTCGGCCGGGTGGGCGGTCGGTCGGTCTGTCTGTCTGTCTGTTTGTCTGTCTGTCTGTCTGCCTGTCTGTCTGTCTGTGCTATAGGCTGCTATAGTAGTTATAAACCGAGAAAGAGATTGAAAGAGACTTGGCAAGAGATTGAAGGCTTTCTTGGCGTAACTGTGTCGGATTTAGGGCTTGCCCGCACACAGACTTCAACCAATGCAAAGAACGTGTTCACCGAGGCCCTTCGGGCCAATGGGTCTGAACCCAATGGCCATGCCTCCAACTTTGCCAGCAGAGGAGAGCAAGCAGATTCAGTTTTGGCGCATGAAAAGCGTCCACTCGTTAAAACTGCGCCCACAAGCACCACCTAGAACCACGATCGGTATGTTGATTGATGCAAAATTCATGTTTTCAATTTTGGGGTCTGATGGACTTTGGGCCAGTCCAGGCGCCGATCGCTCCGCCCGGTTCTGCTGCACCTGCGTCTGGTCGTGGGGCGAACTTGGCACCTGCACTGCGACTTGGCAGAGCAGGATCTCCGAAACTTGACCCAGATGCCAGTCTACTGTAGCCTGCCCTGGCACTGGGAAATGCTTGGATTCTTTTCAATATTTTTCAATCTTAACCGTGGTGTGCTTTGCGGAGCAGGTGGGCTTTGCGGATGGTGGATGACTCCTTCCGTGACCAGATTGACCTTTTGCGGCAGGTGCGGACGGACAGAGGGGGTGCTAGGAAATCTCAATAGACGCAGGCGTCTCAGTCGCTTCAGTGCTTTGTTGTTTTTGGGTGCCATGTTTTTTTTTCCACCGCGTACCTTCCAGAGTTGGAGCCTCTGATATTCTGTTTCTCCTCGGCTGTTGTTCGGCGGGCGCGACACGGTCGCGCAGGCTGCTGCTCGGCACCGCGCAATTCTCGAAAAGAGCCGTGAACGGAGCGCCGGATGAAGCTGGGCGCCACGGAGCTGCGACGCTACAGAGCCCGCGAGGAGACCGGTGGAAAAGTCGGTCGAGGAGCGACTTCCAGAAATTGGCAGCGAAGAACCGCCATTGACCATTGATATGCCATGGGGATCCATGGGGGATAGAATGAGCACGCGCAAATCTCAGCATTTTTTGGGGATGACAGGGGAGTCCAATCATTTGTCAAACTAGCAAGCTTCAAGGGAACTTCAAGTGTGTTGAATTGTTGCAGTCTGGACTGGCCAAAGCAGCCAGCCCGCCCGAGACACGATTTGAAGCCTGCAACAAGGCATCGTCGGATTTTCTTGGGCTCAAGTTGCCACAGCCCTGCCAAGCAGCCTGCTGAGGCTTGTCGCAGGTGGTGTGGTCGAGAAGGTTAAGGAACTACAGAATTACTCAATCAAAGTCAGGATGATTGTCGCTGTGCACACGCATGGCGCTAACTGCAAGGTTTGGTCCACTTGCTGTCAATGAATTCAGACCGGTTTCAGGGCCACAGTTCGCAACCTGGCTCATGTGATCAGGAACCCACACAATCTGTTCAGAGATATGATGGCGCACTTTTTGGAATTCTGCAGGACATTTCGTTTCCCTAGTGAGAACAACTTTTGCCAATTTGCCTTGCGTAGGCAAATGGCGCGATGCGTCTTTCGCTTGCATTTGTGCGGGAGGTTTGAGAGAGGCTCATGGTCAGCACAAGATCCATTGCGATAGAACATAATTATTTTCACGCCAACGAAGATTTGCAACTGCTATAGTCCCAGTAATTACTTTGGCCCCAATGGTCGCAATCACCAGGAGCCTAATACTAACCGGAAGGCATGATATTCTTAGTTCAGCTGAGTTCCTTTATGTTTCTCATTGGCCTTTTGGCTGGTAATTCCAAGGAATAGCATCGGCTACAGCTCTCTGAGGCAGGTTTGAGGGGGCGCCAGCGCCCCACACTCGAGACGCGAGGCAAAGGCTGAGGTTGACGATTCCAACTGGGTTTTCCGCCGGCGTGGCGCACACATGTTTCGTCGCGACACTGATAGGCGCCTCGCCCGATGCATCCTTTGCGGAGGCCGGGACGACATGTCCCAGCTGGGAAGCCCGAAGAGTCAGAGCCGCCCTGCCAGCGTCGGGGCGCCGAGGGGCGGGCCAGCCACGCGCTCCGCTCGGCGTGTCGAGACGAGAAAAAAGCTCAGAGTGTCATACTCTCATCCGTTTTGCCCAGAGCATTGTCTCTCTTCAGAGGCTTCTGACAAAGATGCCGGGGAGGCCAGGTTCCAATTTCTGCCTGGAAAGGGTTATGAAAGGTGTTGGGAGGCATGGGGAGCTTGACTTCAAAGTGTCTGAGCTGCCAGCTGCCAGGATGAGAACCTTTGGCGAAAGACCGTCAGCAAACTGCAAGGCTGGCGTGGCTTCTCATTGAATTGTCTAGACCTGTTAGCTCTTTTGAGCCTAGTGATGCTTGTATGGGCTGGTTCGGAAGGAGAGCTTGAATCGGCCGATGTCCCGCCCTTCTCCAGGCAATGCCCGCGCCGTGGTCTTTGCCAGTCGCCTTAACAAGGTGCGCCATGTTCCTTTTCATTGGCTCAACTGCACATTGTCAACCTGGCGCAGGCGACCTGGGAGCGTGGCACGAAATTGGTGGGCTCCTTGAAGAGCTTTGCCGCTGTGCGGCAAAAAACGGGCCTGGCTGTTCACGAAAGGTAGCCCTTTAGGGGATACCTTGAGTTTGTCTTGCGAAGCAAGTGTTGGCGCGTCCGGGTCTGATAATTGATCCTTCAATTCAACCTCCCCCTCGAATTGATTTCTCAATACAGACCCCCCCCCCCTCCCCCCTCTAAATTCAATTCTCTCCTGGAGAACATCTTCGTGAGCCTCTCATGATTTCAGGATAGTTGAAACCCTCGTGAACATTCACAAAGAGTGCATATGAAATTCTAATCACGAAAGGTGTTCCCCGAGAAGATACATACCTAGAGTTTGTTTTGTGAAGCACGTCAATGCTCTCCTGGGGAACGTCTTCGTGAACTTCTTATGGTTTCAGGATAGTTCAAATCCTATGATGCTCCGATTCAATGCTCACCGATGATCTGAGCCATGGGGCAAGTTTGTTTTCCTAAGATTTTTTTGGAACATTTCGAGAGCATATGTTTGAACATTTAGAGTGCTTTTGAACTTATATTTACGAAAGGTCGCCTCCGAGGGGATAAATCACCATGTCGAACATTGCATTTTTGTTCCTGCCTCTCGCGTTCTCTTCTCTTCCCGCTGTCCTACCTTTCGTGTCTCCCTCCTCTCAAGTCTTGGTGAGGATGTGAATCTCTATCAAGCTGTATCGGTTGGTGGATAGGCCAACCTCCCCTTTGAGCCAGATTTGGTGCTACAAGGGTTTCTGAAACTTAAGGTGTTAGATTTGGAAGAGGTTCATTTTGTTTCATGTTCAGGCCAAGAGAAGGTTTATTGTTGACTGTCCGTACATAGCTGAAAGATAGAGAGGGGACCGGGGAGGTTTCCTTTGGACGCAAATGGTGTCAAATCCAAGGTTCCAGAAGACATCTTGGGCAACTTCAAGGATTGGCACCTTGGCGCACGAACATGGGCATTTGTGGCTCTTCGAGCCGTTGGCGAATCACAATCACTTGAAGTCGGTGGGTCCAGGCCTCCAACCTAACAGGGTCCAGGCCTCCAACTTAGAAGCAATGGTCTCCAACATATGCCAAGGATCGAATATCCCGAAGGCTTTGAGGAAGATGAGGTGTCCACGAAGTGGTCAGAGCAGGGTAGCCCAGCGAGGCAACGAGGAGATGACTCGTTTTTCAACTTTCAGCCCGCATTCTCGGGCCGCACATGACCGCGGAAAGGCCTTTGAACAGAGTTTTGAAGAGTGGCCGGCACAGATGCCGAGACTCGTGGAGGGTTCTCACAAGAGCAAGAGCTATCCCCTCAAAAGGGGAAGGCTCCTGAGACGTGCCGACGCTAGTCAATCTTTATGAATAGACATGGCCCTAGCCGCTAGCCATGAAAGTGTAATTCATCCAAAGTCACTGTTTACTATTTCTGAGATGAACTTGGAAGTTCGTAGTTTGGGATGCGACCTGATTAGGGGCTTCCTCTGGCGGCAGGGGATTCGCCTCACTTCCACAGACTCCGTCACAGGCAGGGATCCGAATGGCATGAGCCATGAGCTGCCCCAGAGCATGGCCCACTCCACTGTCCCAATTATTGACATGCCTGGGGCACACACACACAGAGTCTGACACATGCGATCCGCCCACTTTGACAAGTCAAGGTCGTGCAACTTGTTCAAGGTGTTCAAATTGGCCAACATTTAGCTGTCATGTTCATCAACTTCCACTTGTAACACTTTCACTTCGAACATGGGGTGACACCATGAAAGTTATCCCAACGTCTCTACTTGCTAGGCGAGCAGCTATAGGCGCGGCTTGTGGCTGGCTTGTGTTTTTGTCAGTTGAAGGTGAAGATGCACATGGGCCCCAAGTCAGTGTGGAGTCCAAGGAATGTGACCAAGAACTCCTCCTTGAGGCCAGGTCTGTTGGAGCCGCACACCGTGCTGCCAGAGATCGTCAGCCCGCGGAGCCCAGGCACCCACCAGCAAAAAGTGCTGATGAAAAGGCATACATTGAAGTGACAACAAGCCTATTCACATCCATTTCCATCGATTTTGTCCCATCTCCATGTTCAGCCTTCAGCCAAGGGTCAATTGAGTGATCAGGCTCTGAAAGCACTCCATTCTTGGCCTACGGGCGAGGCCTCAGCTTGCCACCGCAGCGGCGGCGCTTGGAGCGTGTGGGCGATCGTTTGATGCGCCAGCGTACCGATTGCCCACGGCATGTGCCTTGGCAGGGCTGCAGAAGTCGCGGAGATTTATGTAATACGCTATGGTATGCTATACTAAAATGAGGCTTGCCACAGCGATCTGGCATGCAGCAGACTGGGCAGGTCCCAGAAGCCTGGCTACTAGTTCAAGAGTCTGAAGTAGAGTTCTTCAGCACCCAGGACCAGTTGAAAGAGCTGGTACCACAATTGCCGCCGGATCCGCCTTTGCTGAGCAGGCACTCGGGATCCAGTTTGCACGTTGCAACCGTGCATCTCGGCCTCCAAGCCGTGGACATGTGCTGGTAGAACTCCAAAACCGAACTCGAGACTCGAGATCTGACATCGTAGACCAAAGGAAGGGTAGTTTCCTTTCTAGTTTAAGGAGCTTGAGTAGCTTCCGCAAGGCTCCGCACAGAATGCTTGGCTTCCTGCCAGTTTTCCTTCAAGTAGACCTCCTTCACACGCATCCTAATCTTTTGGGGAATGGCAGTTGGAATCTTGGGAATAGCAGGGGAGCTTGGAGAAGGGGAAGGACCTCGTAAAGTCTCGGGCCATGAGGCAAGAAAGCACTCATGACACTTGGCTTCCTTATACCTGCCTTTGGTGGGCGAGGGGGACATGAATGGAATGATTGGAAGGTAAGCTTGCCAAATCCTTCCAACCTTGTCCCTAAACAGCCTTACCACGGATGGCTCCGTCTGCAAGTAGCCACCCCTTCCTTGCTTGAGAAAGACGTCAGTCAAAAACGGGGGATGCGCAATGCCCCCCCAAAGACTCAATCAATTCAGATCATCCCAGATCTCTCCACAGTGGGTCAACACATTTGACAAACATAGGGATGGAGACGAAGATGTCAGCCTCCATGACATCCCCACAGACGTTCCCACGACCTTCCCCGCTGTCAGGGCTGCCCGAAAGGCGCAGGCCGAGCGCCGAAAGCAAGAGGCAGACAAAGCCCGGGCTGAGGTGCGGACGCGGAGTAGATGGAGATGAGACGAGTGGTTTTGGTGGAGCACCTGCCTACATGAGAGTGGTGAATTCTCCAGGTGAGTGGCATGCTAGACTGCTAGACCAATCTCTTTCCGGAACCTTGTTGAGGCTGAGGAGCAGCACAGGCAAGCCAGAAGAGGCTTTGCAATCGCACGGTTTCGTGCGGCAGGTGCCTTGGCAGGTGGGCAGAGGCTCCAGGGGGTTCCGCTGCATCTGAGAATCTCATGGTGGCGAGGGGTTTCGACATTCCCTCCCGAGGTTTCGCCATCCTGAGCTGCTTGGTTGCAGGATGTCGAATCATTCTCCGGCTAGGGAGCCATCGGAGTCATCCCTGACTGAAATGCATAGATGTTCTATGAACCCCTGTTTTGGAGAACACTGTGCAGGACCTCCCTTTAATTGAACCTTCGATCTCGGCTGATGGAAGGATGATTTCGTGCTGTTTGTGCAGAGGCAAACACCGAGCTCAGGAAAGCTACGCTCAGGGGATGAGGATTTCTTCACGCAGCTTGGTGCAGTTGATGGGGGTAATCTTTCTTTGGGGCTGAGTGCGGGGAGTAGCTTTTCACTTCAAAAGAGTCCCAGCCATTGTTTGAGACCTCTTTCACATTTTGGCAGCTCGACTAAAGTCCAAGGCCCAACGATAGCTGCTAGGGGCTCCTGGCATCGCTACTAGGAGCAAGGACGCTACTAGGAACAACGACTGTAAACCGCAAAGTTCACAGTTTACAGTGCTCCGCTGGGCCTTCGACTCTCCTTGGTCGGCAGAAATGCTGGGGGTTGAGGCGCCTGAACAGCGCCGCAGTCCTCCCCATGGAGAAGAAGAACCGAGGCAAGCAGAAGGAGCGAACAGCCGAGCCCTGTCTGGGACACAGGCGGCAGGATCCAAAGAAAAGAAGCCAAACATGTTGGCATCATTTCGGTATTCATTGGTGGTGAGGAGTCCATCGAAGTCACTTTTTGAATGGAGGACGTTCTGCCAGAACGTAGTTCTTGCATGTCCCACACTTGACTTGCCTGAAGCTCGGTCGAGCTCAAGTCGTTCCAATTGAAAGCACCAAGAGTCATTGGATGATCCTCACGTTCCTCCCACATGTCAAGTGTCAAGAATCCTTAGCCTCAAACATATCACACCAACCACACCAAGCACACCAATATACATTCCTTGCACAGCCCACTCTTCATTGGCCGCCATGTTTGCTCCCCGGAGCCTGCGCCGGAGCACCTCTGCGCCCGGGCGTTCGGATGGACGCTCCGCTTCGCCGAAATCGGTGAAGTTGGAGGCGAAGTCACCAAAGGCTGCTCAGGTCCTAAAGGTCCTTCCCTTAGTCTGAAAAAGCTGGGAGAGAACACTGCAGATGTTCGGGGGATTTTCCTTGTTCACTGGAACAGTATGAAGACGTATGAATGTATGAATGATTTGTGGCGTCGATCATTTTTGTCTCTAAAATCATGCCTGTGGCCTGTGGGAGGCTGGGCTGGGCCAAACAAAAATAACTTGGAGGCTTTTCACTCCTTTATTGCATTTCATGTGATGTCACCGAGGGCCGCTTGGATGCCTCCACGGACTCTGTGACCATTCAGAAATCCGAAACCACCAAGACGCTGTCGGGCTCCGCCAAGGGCATCCTCGAGCGCCGTGAGGGGTCGCCATCGCCGCGTGCCGGCCCGCGGCACCAAGGGCTTCACACAGCGCTAGGCCATGCCGCCTCACGAACCCTTCTGCGAGAGAGTTCGGGGCCCTTGTGGTGCTACTCTGTGCCCACCACCCCTCCCACCCGAGCTCTTGGCCGGAGTCCCGTCCTCCGACGGGAGGAGACATCGACACCACTGATCAGTCCACCGTTCCGACGGGACGAGACGACCTCTATCACCCCTATGCCAGCCGGTTTGAGCGTTCCAAGCTGTGCATCCCCGCCAGTCGCTCACCGATTGTGCTATCCCTATCCGCAGTGTCACCCAGCAAAGCCACAGCCTGTCCAGCAGCCTGTCCAGCAGCCTCTGCAGCAGTCTCTGCAGCAGCCTATCCCGCAGGTAGTGAGGCGCAGTGTTTTCGTACAGCCTGCAATGCCCACACTTCTGCAGTCCAAGCCAGTCGCAGTTGGACCATTCAGGGTCCTTCATTGCAAGGTCATCCCTCCCAGCTCAAAGGAAGGCCTTTCCACCCAGCCCGCACCTGAAGCTCCAGACAAGGAACCCGAACCCGAAAAGGATCCTGCAGAGGTTCAGGCGGGCACGTCGGATTTCAGGATCCTGAAGAGTTATTCATGGAGGGTGATGGAGAGTTCAAGACGTTGGAGTCAGGCCCCATCATGTCAGGATATTCGACCTTTTGTTGGTGAAGTAGCCAGACGTTGGATGACACCTCCTTGGAAATCCAAACTCCAACTGGGCCAAGGATCTTCTGCCTAACCCAAACATGTCATTTGTCCCATCGTCACAGCTCCCTCACCTCAACCCCAGCGTTTCCAAGCCAGTAAGCATAACGAGAACTCTCAACACGGAGTTGGCACTTTGCATCACCAGGCCGAGGAGGAGATGGCACGAGAGGTGGCACGCCTTGAACGTGAGGAGGCTGCCAGGTGTGCGCTATGTGAGGCTGTGGTGGATGCTTCTGAGCTGGACCTGCAGAATACGGACCTGGCCCGGCTCCGGCAAGCAAGGACCTAGCCTTACTGCTAGGAGCAAGGACGCTACTAGGGGCTCCTGGCCTTACTACTAGGAGCAAGGACGCTACTAGGGGCTCCTGGCCGTACTACTAGGAGCAAGGATGCTACTAGGGGCTCCTGGCCTTACTACTAGCAGCAAGGACGCTACTAGGGGCTCCTGGCCGTACTACTAGGAGCAA